AGAAAATCAGGATAAAACAAACAAAAGAATCATAGTTCGTGCAGATTTCTGCCTCGATCGTTACAAATTGGAATTGCTTTGATGAAGTTGAGAAATGGCGGCAGATGCGGCAGAGGCAACAGAGGCAGCAGAGGCAGCAGAGGCAGACACAGCAGACGCGGCTGCCAGTTTCTGTTAGCGTCAAATCCGTGCTTCCACGCATTTGAGCACTCCCACTGCTTTCGCACACACTCAGCATCGGTCGCTATGGGTCTTCCAAAGACGGCCTCCAGACGTGCTGGAGCCTGACAGTTTCCCTCGAGGTTTTTGCTTAACAGGACACCAATTGCGCTTGTGGTTGATGGCAGGGCCACGGCAAACCGAGCAAATGTGAGGGGTTCGTTTGGCACTCTGGAATGGAGCACACAGCAACCGACAGCGAGTGAGTCCACATGGCGAGAAGTTCTAATAATAAATAAATTAGGTGTTTGAACCTCAGAGCTGAAAGCAAAGCTGTGCAACCCCGACATCAACATCACAACGGCACGCAAAACAACACAAGAGAACAAGTTACATTAGACATCTTCTAACCGAGTCAAAAGGTGGGGGTCAAATCGGGACGAATAGTATATGTGTCAAAGGTTAGACTTTAAGGAGGTTCAACTTGCAACGGGCACTTTTTACACTTTTTGACCAGTAAAAACAACGAAAACTCGATGGCTCGACCTCGAATCAAGTTGGTGTCGCGCGCCGCCTTCTTGCGTGATGGCCGTTTCTCGGCCAGTACGCGACGCGCTGTCGTCAAATCAATGGAAGCTTATGGCAGCCAGCTTGGTACTCTGTACTACCTGATGGGTCTGGAACAATTACTGGAATACAAACGAGCTGGGCATCCCGTCGAATCAATCAAGCGTGCTATCGCGGTGCTCCTACTGATCGCCACCCAGATACAAGAACACTTCGCCAATGTCGTCATGCGCCCTGCATACAGAATTACAGAAGCTGGAACACCGCACGTCAATTTCGATCGCTTCCCCGAGTCAGCATGGTCTCAATGTTTTGGTATGGCCGATGCCGGTCAATTTACGCGCTTGGCCACGGCTCTTTCCTCTCGAGTGCGCAGCAAATTTCCAGTTCCACTGAAGGAGGCCCTTCTGGCGTTCCTTGCCTTGTTTCATCGGTCATCGCGACTGAGCGATGTCATACGTCTACTTGGAGTATCTTGGACAGTACCCAAAATGTCGCAGGTTATTAATACATTTGCAGTCGCTGTTGCTCGGATGTTTCAAGCGCAGTTGGCTTTTGATGTGCGCTACTTTCTACCCGACTGGACGGAAGCTGCAGCCTCAGCCGTTGCGGCAAAACATTCGCCTCTAGCGGGGATCTGTGCCTTTATTGATGGCACAGGCCAGCCCATAGCGCGTCCAAAAGGTAATGACGTCCAGCGCGCGTTTTATGCCGGCAAGGATGCGGTACGTGCCCTGTCGGTTGAATGGCACAGTTGATGGTGAATCCTTTGGATGACCCTTTGAGTTTTCTCTGCTTTCTCACACGTGATCATTCATACAGCGACATACGATTCGCTATCAAGGCATTGTAGCCCCAAACGGGCTCATGATCAGCTTTGCCGGGCCTTGGAGAGGTGAGGCACCTGACTTTACGGTTTAAGAGACCATGTCTTATCGCTGCACCCTGCTTCGTAGGGCCGAAACATGACGCACATCTCCTCAAGCAATCGGGTGTCCTGGAAAAACTTGAACAATGCTGGCCAGCAAGCGAGCCGTGGTGTCTGTTGGGAGATTCCGCTTATCCTCGCTCCGCTCGCTTGGTGCGTCCGGAGCGAAGAGACGAGCGTGGTTTTTCACCTGAGTCTGAAGCGAGAAATCGAGAGCTGGGACGTCTCAGAGTCGTGATTGAATGGGCTTTTGGGGCTTCCGGCTACGGAATTGCATCGCGTTTTGAGGGTGTAGTAGACCCTCGTCTAATGATGGTGCAAAAGCGCCCGGTATCTGCCTACATGCTGACAGCCGTGCTATTGAGCAACATGCTTGTCTGTGACGACCAGACAAATCCTGTTGCTCAGTACTTTGAGCACAAACTGCGCATACCCACGCTTGACGAGTATCTGGCTCTTGGGCCGCTTTCCGCCAGCTGAAAGTGCATGTGCCTAGCCACCCCAGCTAGCTTCACTTGCCTACTCTCTATGACCTTTGATGTTCGTATTTATTTTCAATTGATGGGCTAAGGAGCATATCAAATAAATAGTCGAACAGGATCTCTGCATGGCTATCGCCGTGAAGCTCGTGCGCGTGTGACTCGCAGTTCGGGATGCGAGGCATCATCAGAGGCCCGTTTTGCCGTTGTGGCCAGTGAGGGGCTGTCTCCATCGGAGGGTCGACGGATCGCCTGCTGCAAAAGGGCCTGCATGCCACCTAGCATGGTCTCAAGATTGGCGATCTTGTCATGAACGTGCGTGAGCTCGCCTTCAAACTTTTTCAGCGTGTCGCGAACGTGAGTAGCATCGTCCTGAATAGCAGAAGATATCTCCGACATCTCGCTTTTTATAGTTGCAATCTCATCATCAAGCCGCGCCCGCTCTCTTGATCCATCAGGAGGCGAGGGCCCCGAATGGCCAATAAGATTTCTCAGGGTGTGCTGCACGATCTGAGACATCGAAGCAATTGGCGGTAAAAACACATCTGGTTCAGTGATTGCTTGACTGTCAAATGCAGGCCGGGTAGAGATCGCGTTTTGGGTTTGATCCTCATCCTGAGCTGCTGCTGGTGGTACATGGGCAGTAATAGACAAATCGATGCCCGCAGTTTGCCCGCTGGGGGATTGACTCCCATGTCCGGCCGGGGAGGGCACGAGACTGATATCGGCCTCAGGCCCCGAAAACGCATTCAAAGCGGTCTGCCCATCATCGGGCTGATCTTCAGCCACCACGCCCCCCTCACTTCGCGCCGGTGTGCTCTGAGCCTGTTGGCTCGAATCAGGTTGAGGGAGAGACGATTCACCCAATGGAGGCAGGAGGCCACATGCACTGAGAGCCGAGGCAGCAATAGCCTCGGCATTAGCACTGCGCAGATTGCTTGCTTCACGCCCCCGCGCAACGGCACTCAAAACTTGCTGACGCTCCGCCTTGATTGTTTTGAGCACGGGCATGATGCCCCGCCAAAGATCACGGCGGCCTTGAGGAATCCCACTCACATTGGAAACATCGGCATTGCCGGTGGGTGGGACCTTTTTCTCGTCTTCCAGGTATTGCTGCAGTAGATCCCAAAATACGCCCCACCACTCGTGACGCTTACCCTGTCGCGAGTTGGCAGACTTCAAAGACATGGCTTGGCTCAAAGACAGGCGAAGCGTTTTGTATCCAGCGGGTGAGATACCCAGTTCACTGTATAACCTATGCACGCCCACCCCACATCGTCCGGTGAAGACGAAGCACAAGTTTAAGGTGAAAGACAAACAACAATTTATACACTGGAGTCTGCCCACGTGAGCTAGCAAGGGCGTACCAAAGCTGCATGCCATGCTCAAAAATCTTGGTCACCTCAATCCAATCGACCTTACCGCGTCGCGAACGATTGGCCAGCGCCCGCTCTGCCATGGGCTCTCTCAGATCCAATGGTGAAAATCTGCGTCGATCCAGGCTAAGTGAGTGAGGCGTCGGCAGAGTGAGGCTGGCAAGCAGACCACATGACATACTTCTTGCTGCAGACGAGATCCACTTCGTCAGGGCCGAGACTCCTGAGCTCCAAGACTCGGCAGTTTAGTTGCTTTCGAAGGTGAAGCCCCAGTTTGCACCCGCGGGAGAGCAGTTCATGAATGCAGCGCTCCACCGCTTCCTGAAGGGAGGGATGGTACTGTTTGATAGTCATTTGGAATATTTCACATGACGCCTTTAAATGACTCGTATCCGACGGCGAAGTAACTTGAGAATTCATGGTGGCGCTGCCGTTTCACAGGACACTAGACCTCTTACCCCGATCCAAAAAAAAGTGTAAAAGGTCCGGTTCAAAAAGGGTTGATTTGAGGCTTTCTGAACAAAATCAAAAATTTTTCCCCGACCTTTTGTACTTTTTTTATCTGACATCGACCTTTCGCACCAACGGGGTAAAAGGTCGGTGGGTCTTTTACCCTGTTAGAAGATGTCTATTCACTGGCTTTTATCATGCCAAGAAGTACAAGCGCGAAGAATCCTGCACATAGAAACAAAAATCGTACAAAACGACCAAGTATAACCAGAGATACGGCCATTTTAAACACAAGACACATAAAAAGGCAGTCACACATCACAACTACAAGCCATCA